ATTCCCAAAATCTGTAAGTAAAACCGAAGCACCCAATCGGAATAAATCGTATTGTACAACACATATGCATACCTACATAAGCATACACATATTTACCCATACATAAATACAAACACACACACACACATATATATATATATATATATATATATATATATATATAATTATTTATTTAAAAATATGATTCCAACGCTACATAAGAGTTCTCATGTTTCAAAACAAGAGCCGAAAACTTCAAAACAATTATGTGAATTAAATTAAAGTACCAAGTTCTGTTCCATAAGAAAATTTCACTTGAAGATGGAACAGAGATTGGTAATTTAATTCAATTAGGAGCGTCAAAAAATTTTGGAAGATGACACTGTTGCATTTTGGTGGGGGTGGGATTAACATTCTCCATTTATATTTTAACAAACAAAGCTTAACGTTTTCCTCCACTGTATATCTGAGTTATAACACAGTTATTTGCGAAGTAATCTTTAGTCGTATCTGAAGCAACTCAGTTAAAAACTGTGTATTTGAGGAACTCATTTAAAAAGAAAACAGTCAACCAAAATACACGTATCTCTCCCTAATCTCAATTGCCTGCAGCGAGAAAAAATGTTTGTTACTCTACTTAATAATAAAGAAAAGGAACCTAAATTCCTTTCGATCACTCAACTTGCCGATCTCACAAGGGCAGTAAAATAATAAATTAATGTTCAAATCATTTTATTCTGTTCTTCACAAAGGACCTAGAGGATCCCGAAGAAGACCGGAGAACACAGCGGCCAACACGTTGTTATAATAACAAAGATGAGAATAATAGTCTGAATTGAAATAATGTAAATAAAAATAACACCTCATCCCAGAAATTCAAACCAAAAATGATACATATTATTTGGTTAGTTATTTGAACCAGTAAAGAGCACGGAGGAGAATTCAACCGGCACTAGCACAAGATCACGTTATAATAAGAACATGTTCATAACGAACATTTTAGGGTTCCTTCTACCTTTTTGTTGAGTATGATTTTGTTTCCGATATGGTGCCATAACGAAGATTATTATTCGGATTCAAACGAAGAATTCGCGTAGCAAAATTAGACCCGAGTTAGCACAAGAATACTGGAACAAGTAATGCAATATTTATGATCCGAATGATATCAGAATGGGGAACACAAATGCAGACAGTGTAATGTGTACCGATGTTCATAGACTATGCAAAAACCTTTCACAATGTACAGCATAAAGATCTATTTGAATATCGGAAAAATTGATTTATTTAAAAAAGCTATTAGAATAATCGTTGGGAGCAAACTGCGTCCATACGGATAGAAAAGGTATTCAGTAAATAGACAAGAATAGAAAGAGGCATAAGACAATGTTGTGTCTTCTCACCTGATTCAACCTTTACGGCGAGGCGATTCTAAGAGGAATAGATGTTCTACCAGGATTTATTATTGGTGGGCACAATCTTAATCTCATATGACACAGAGATGATGGAAGACATAGAAATAAAACTATAGGAACTCCTAGAAAAGGTAGTAACAAAGGATTGTAAGAAACAAAGGATTGGGGACACAGTTGTAATATTTGATTATCAGCAAGAGAAACAACCCAGACGTCAGCTACTAACAAAATAGGTCAAAATCAAGTACGAAGACTTAAATATCTGGGTTAGTGTTTCAAAAGAGGAACGAAGATGCGACACCGAAATACGAAGTCACTTTGCAATAAGAAATGATGCATTCCAAAAGCTAAGCAGAGTATTAAGAAACAAGAAAATTTAATTAGAAATAGAAATAAATACTCGGTTTCCAACAAGCAAGAATGCAAGAAACACCGAGGCATTTATTTTAGAGTATGCAGAGGAAACTTGAGATTTTGTTCTACAGAGGCATTCTGAGAATATCATGGAGAGAGTATATATGGCGGAAGTCTTAAGGAAGATGCAAACAAAGAGAACGCTTTGATTTGAATCAGAATGAGACGATTGGAATATTAAGGACATAAAAAAGTAAAAAGACACTCACAGGACATATTGAAGGTAAGATGGACAGAAACAAAGTGGCGGACAAGAATGTCTAATGATCTTGTGTAAATGGATGGCATAAGAGGGAATGTTAGTAAAAAGGCAAACATTGTTAAAATCTACAAAGAATAGGATGTTGTTGAAAGAAGATGAGACTTAATTATAATTACCGCCTTTTTCAAACCTTCGTTACATCTCTTAGTTTTAAGACATTTTTTAATGTTTATACGTCCTTTTGATAGATACAAATATTTAAGTAAATGCTCTGTTTATAATAAACAGTATTAACGACATTTACTGGCCTGAATGTCCGAGAAATTTTCATAGAAAATATGCGTCTTCCGACAGGAATCGAACCTGTAACGTATACGGAACCGTTGTATAGCCTGACGTGTTTTTACCGATTGAGCCACAGAGGAGCGTTTCGGTTAGCAAAGTCGATTTTACTGTTTTTAAACTACAATTCTCCATGATTTTCTCTCATGCATTCATATCTGTTCATGGCGTTTCCAAATATAAACAAATGACGTCACACATTATGAAATGGACAAAGTCCGACAATTATTTTAAGACAGACCGGTAAATGTTGTTAATACTGTTTATTATAAACAGAGCATTTACTTAAATATTTGTATCTATAAAAAGAACGTATAAACATAAAAAAATGTCTTAAAAAATAATTGTTGGACTTTGTGCATTTCATAATATGTGTTATCTCTTAGTTTCTTTTGTGCTATATTTATATACGTGGTCAGACCAAAAGTGTATCGGGACTGGATCTATAAAAAGAAAACTACAAAACCAAACGTCATTTCCATTGACTGGAGCATTCCTGAAACTCCTTTTGGGGAATAGCAAGCAGCTGCCGCGTCAAATTTACTTGAATTTACTCGACTTTTAAGTGGAATTTGATTTTTGGAAAAACGAAAACGTCGCAATGAATCTGGGGAATGCATGTTCTTGGCTTAAAACTGCTGAAAAAGCCAGCGTCACTCTAGGAACCTCTACGCTGTAGTGAAACGACCACTGCATCCCAAACTTCAAAGTGAGCGAAAACGTTATAATTCCGTGTGCATGCGCAACAGAGTTTAAGGTCAATATGTCCCAAGCAGCTTCACTCTGTATACTTTAGCTTCGTTAGTATAACAACAGTCCCGAAACTTTCTGATCAGACCCTCTCTCTCTCTCTCTATATATATATATATATATATATACATATATTTACCGATCTGAATATCCGAGAAATTTTCATAGAAAATATTCGTTCTCCCACAGAGAACGAATATTTCCTATGAAAATTTCTCGAACATTCAGGCCGGTAAATGTTGCTTAATACTGTTTACTATAAACAGAACATTTACTTAAATATTTGTATCTATAAAAAGAATGTATAAACATAAAAATGTCTTAAAAATAATTGTCGGGCTTTGTCCATTTTATAATATGTGACGTCATTCGTTTACATTTGGATACGCCAAGAGCAGATATGAATGTACGTGAGAAAATCATGGAAGATTGAAGTTTAAAGGCAGTAAATTCGACCTTGCTCATCGAACAATTTTCTGTGCCTCGATCGGTTAAGAGCACGTCAGGCTAAATGGCGGTTCCATACAGGATACAGGTTCGAATCCTGTCGAAGAACGAATATTTTCTATGAAAATTTCTCGGACATTCAGTAAATGTTGTTTAATATTGTTTATTATAAACAGAGCATTTTATATATATATATATATATATATATATATATATATATATATATATATATATGTGTGTGTATGTATGTATAGTTCCGTGTAAAAGTCTTCGGCAATGTAAACTATTAAAAATTTTTAATAATTGCCATCTTATAAGAAGATGTTTTTGTGAGTGTCCCACGCGATGCAGGAGCTGCATTCTCCTGTGTGAATTTATAAGGTCGAGAGGAAAACGAAACAATCCATGTTACACGAGCGAAAACAGTGCAGATTTGGGTGCTAAGAGTTTGATGTTTTAGGGCTCCATAGAAAGTGAGGGTTCAATAAAATCGGCTAAATTTGACGATAGCCTGTATAGAGTGCCTAATAGACCTTGTGGCTCACGGGACATTTGACACCAAACCTAAATAAAAAAGAGAAGGAGATTGTTTAGCAATTATCAAGCTCCATATACACAGAATGCATGCGACATAACAGTAACTGATTGACGAATAGGTCGCTGTATTGAAAGATTGGCCAGATTAGAGCCCTCAATCCTAGTTCAAATGTTGGCAGTACCATCAGAATAATCCACGTGATCTTTACTTGAGGGAGCTCAACCACCTGGACTGGTATGTAGTACTTGTGAAGGTGGTGAAAAATTTGTACACATACATTGAACTAATTATTCAAGCTACAAGAAGCCACGCAAAGTTTTACCAATGTGCATTAACTTCTTCAAATCAACATTATATAAACTTTTCATTACAGACATTTTTCTGTTTTAATTCACAGCATCTTATTTGCTTTAGGTGAGGTGACCAAAATCCTTTCCACAACCACGACTCGCAAAATTACACGCTCCTTCAGAACAATTGCTAAAAGATATATGATAATTAGGCGTGAAAATGACTCCAATATAGTAAAAGTTTCATCTGTAGACAACACAATAAAAACGATCAGTTATAAGATAGCAATTATTAGAAATTTGAAATAGTTTAAAATGACTGATGACTTTTGTAAAGTAATGTATATGTCTTTATGTATGTATGTGTGTGTGTATGTGTGTGAGACTTCAAGAATCTTACACACATACACAGATATTTTCTTTGTTTTTTTCTTTGAAGCAGCAATGATAAGAGAGATGAGTAGAAGGTCAATTCGAACAGTGGATGAGATTAGCTTTCCTTTGAATAAGCAATCTTCATATCACAAATGCATTCAATAAGAGAGACAAAAAATATGAAAGATTCAAGTTTCCACAAGCGACAGTTGAAATATAATTACATGCAAAGAAAATGTTAAATTGTTTCTTTATACAAATGATATTAAAACAAGATATAATATGGTAGCCATTACTGATAAAAGAAAACACTGTTGTGTGTGATATGAAACAGGTAAGAGAGAATGAAACACAGAAAGAGCGGCAGAAAAAGAAAGAAAATAAGGAAGAGACGTAGATATATATAGAGAGTGAGAAAAGAGGAAGAAAAACACAGATAGATAGATAGATAGATAGATAGATAGATAGATAGATAGATAGATATGAACAGGCTGAGATAGATAGATAGATAGATAGATAGATAGATAGATAGATGTTGATGGAAAATTCCATACCTACCTGTTACCCCTCCGGGATAATGCATTTTTAACGCATAATCACCTCTTAACCAATCAGCATCTTAGTTTCAGAAAACTAGGTTTTTCATTGGCTGGGACCTTTTTCCCATTCAACGCTTTGGAGCCGATTTTGAGACCACAAACTCAATAAATAGAAGCGTTCCGATTCGATTCAAGCAGTCAGAACTTCAACCCTGGAGAGATGCTAAACAAATCCCCGCTAGCCAAAACTTTGACCTAACTACACTTTTCGCGCGTTAATTCTTCTGACTTTGCTCTCTCAGGAACATTACTTACAACATACTAAAGAAAGTGAATTGACCCACTACTAAAACAGTATTTGTAAATCTCAATCCAACATCAAGACAACAGCTAAATGCAAACAACTCTTACAAACTTTAAACAGTAACTTTAACAAACGCACACATCCACACTAGTGACTGAACTCCCACAAAAGACATTTTGTAATACGATTAAACAGCTTGTTTAATTTCATACACATATCCTAATCACAAGCTTACACACATTGAAACTCAGCATAATCCATCTACATATTTTATTACAACTGGTCGCACTTGATCAGCAATATCTATCTTGATTGTGTATGTTCAATTGATATAAAATGAATGTTATTTGTTAAACCTTTAATCATGTTGTCCTCATTTTTTATTCCTCCTGAATTATTTTACCTTCAATGATCTAATTTTTTATTTGTTGTGGATGAATGTCTTTTGAACGCCTACATTTCTAAGCCTTCTGATAACCTAACCTTCTGATACACAAAAATACATTCGCCAATCTGCAACAATGTGAACAGGCTGAAATAGATAGATAGATAGATAGATAGATAGATAGATAGATAGATAGATGTGAACAGGCTGAAATAGATAGATAGATAGATAGATAGATAGATAGATAGATAGAAGCGAATGTATTCTCGAATAATCTAGAACGATGCAAAGAGCTACAAAGATAGAAGGAAAGAAAAAGAGAGGAAACCAGACAGAAATAAAGAAAGAAGAGCTAAAGTAACAAAAAGAAAAAGAGAGAAAGAAAAAGAGAGAAAGAAAAAGAGAGAAAGATTGCAAAGATAAAGAGAAAGAGAAAAATAAACAGCGGCAAAAAAGATAAAGAAAAGGATAATCAGAAATTGTGACAAGAAAGAGAAAAAGAGTATCAAAACTAGATGGAAAGAAAGAAAAAGAAAGAATCACAAAAAGAGAGACAAAAAAAGAACGACAGAAAATAGAGAAGAAAGAGAGAGAGAGGGCAAGAAAAAAGAAAGAAAGAGAAGAAAAAAGCTACTAAAATACAAATAAAGAAAGAATTAAAAAAAATGAAAAAAATGAAAAAGAGAAAATGAAAAAGAATAATTTTGTTTTATTCATATTTTCAATTTTCTGACGATTTAAACTTTTTCAGTATCTTACGACAAAGGCGAGTGTTTTCTGTTCTTGCCTCATCATCACGACGCCAATTAAAAAGATTTCACTCACATTAAAGCCAACAGTGGTCTTTGTGAATTCAAAAGGAAAAAAACAATTTACACCAAACATTATTTCAAGATCTTTCATGTTAAATGTGACTTTCAAAGATAAAGACGACTTTAAAATAAAAGTAGCTTTAAAAAGACAACTTGAAGCTGAAGGCCAATTCTTGAAAGCTGCGTGTGCTGTCATCGTGTAATGTACACTATTTCCATTATCTGATTCTTCTTTGCACGAAATCAATCATTCTTCTCTTTTGATTAGGAAGTCACTTTGATTTCTTCATTCTAATAGCAACACCAATCGTGCATAATTTGACATTTTCTGGGCGTGTTTTTAACATGACAATCTAAATATATTGTTTTTGAATTGTGTTCGTCAAGCAACTTCAATAAATGAAGGTAGCGCTATCATGGTCGACTGTCCATATTGATCACTGCACACCGACAAAAGCTGATGAATCAATTGCTTTAATTGAAGATTGAACAATTCTAAGCAGTTTAGATTTAACAGAAAGCGTATATTGTCTTCGTGATGGAGGCATCTCAATTAGTGTCAGTATTTTCTCATTTGATTCATTAACGCCTCTTGAAATTCAGTTTCTCGAGACAGATTAATGGCCGAATTGATGTCTTCTTGCTTGAATGCGAAAACAACAGAAAGAACAATTTAAAGATTGCAATCGTAATTGTTAGAAAAGGGCGGGAATTGATTAAGGCCGCTGGGGAAGAATTGGCCGTGTGAATTCCGCTATAAGAGAGAATTACAATAATAAACGACATTTCTTTAATCAGGGAGTTTTGGTTTACAATGATGTTCAACCTGTACAAGGCCCAAGAGCCACTCTAGGTAGAGGGTTAGAGAGTAAGAAACACATTTTATGCAAATGTGTGAGGAAGATAACGGTTAACACTAGGTTTGAACAGGTTAGGATTTTTTTTCTAACCGTGCAGTATTCTCCTGGGAACCAATTCCACAAAGCAGCAGTTTGTGGGAAGATGATGCTTGTTTAGAATTTACATCTCACCAATGGAGTACAAAGATAATAAAGTTGGTTTGCGTGTCATGGTGAGTCCTAGCCGTGAAATTTAGAATTGGTGGAAATAAGGAATGTAGCTTGTCTGAACATTTTCCATGGAAATAGCGATAGATCAGCGAAAGGCTTGCGATATTTCGTCTGTGGGAAAGGGGTTGTAGAGTGGAAAATATTTCGTCACCCACGATTGTGATGGAAAATTCTCAGCTCGACGAAAACATTCTGATGATTGGTGAAATTTTTAGAAATAGGTTAGGTCAAAATCTTTTCAAGTTGTTAGATATGACTGTGGACTTCTCATATATTAAAAAATAAAATGAAAACAGCTGATAAATTGATTGAGAACTCCTAAATTAAAATGAATCGAGCTGAGGGCTTCTGGTATTTAGTAACGATAGAACACTTTAATGGAGGATGTCTGAAATTTTCATTATTATAATTCTATAGATCAGCTGCAAATTACGAAAATATCTGCAAGAGAAAGAAGGGGTTATTAGATTTAAAACAAAAAAATCATCTCTATAATTACGATGCCAATTAGATTGGTGTGGTTTGGTTTGTTGGTAATACTTTTTTTTTCAAGAATATATTGTTGGTAATATTCTTTTTTTCAAAAATTTATTGCTGGGAATATTTTTTTTTTCAAAAATGTATTGCTGGGATTTTTTTCCAAAACGTACTGCTGATATTAAAACATATTTTTATACTTTCTTAGTGTTTTGACCCCTTTTGCAGAGTTAACTATTTGCCCATAGCAGGTACTATAACACCGGTTCAAGGTGGACCTGGGAACACCAGCAATTAAGAAGTGGTTTCACACACCTCAAAACCTCATGATCAAAAGGCTTGCTGTTGGATGTCGTTTATCCTCTTAGCCACGACGCGGATGTCGTTTATCGTCTTACCCCTACGACGTGGATTTCGTCTATAGTCATACCCATGACGGGCCAGTTAGACATCCTGATTTAGCGGAAAACGTATTCAAGAGTCTTTACACAGATGAATTAACTACGTGTCGTATACAAATTGTTTCTACAAATTTCCACTGCAATGATCAGCTTTTCTCCTTGCTGTCTCGACTGCATGAATTTATAGGTGCTACTGGATTGGCAATTAGGTCCCACCGGTTTGCTGTTGTACTATCTAAAATTAACCGTATGTTCTATTCTAATAGTTTTTTCTCTCACCTCTCACCTGTTGAACTCTCTTCCTGTTTCTTATTTTCCTACCACCCACAATCTGCAAAAAATTAAATGCAAAGCCGATCATCTTCCATCTTCTGAACTCCGTTCTTTTATTGCCCTTTCTCCCTATTTCTTCTTCGGAGCAGTGGCAGCTGTTAGGGTCCCACCTATGGTTAAATAGTCAAGCCCCAAACAAAAACAAAACACTATGAAAGTATAAAAAATATAAGTTTTATAATAAAATACCAGCAATATATTTTTATATAATAAATTGACCAACAATACATTTTATAGTAGAATTGCCAAAAATACGGTTTTTTTTCTAATTGAAAGCATACAATTGCGTTCAAAATATTTAGATTTCGGTTTTAAATAACCCACAGAGGTGTTGATATGCCACTAAACTAAATCAACCAACTACTTCTTCTTACTAAAATCTTCTCATGTTCTTTCACTTCAAATAACTGCATGCATCCTAGTGACATATTATCATCTTTTGATTCAAATGAAATTATTTTTAAAAAAGCAAAAAATAATTGATACGAATGACATGGGCCGTCAGAATCTGAACAACAGAATCTAAAAAAATAAATAGACACCCACAAAATTTGGAAAACAAGGATCATCAACAAACTATTTGAGGGAGAGATTCTATTTTATCTCCCTTGTCGTCGTTGAAGTGCCTTCACTCTCACGAATATAGAAGTGAAAAACTGCAATCTTCGATTGGAGAATTTCTGCCTAAGTTGAAGTAATTCATCATCGGAAAAAACGTTTCACTCGGACCCCGGATTCGTTCAATGTGCTTTATGTCTGGTTCATAAGTTACCCATAGTTGAAATCTAAGTCCATGTTGCACCAGCTACGCTCGGGTCACTTTTACAGCATAGAATGGAGCGTTGTCTTGTATGAAATATGTCGTGTCCTTGACGATCTGATTACAAGAAAATGATGAGGATAAAGCATTCATTAAAAATATTTTGCAGGATAATTGTTGACAGTACATTCAACGGTTAATATTCCAAATAGCTCCCCAAACAAAACCAAAAACCCACTGTGTTAAACAGTTCGTTTTAGGCTGTTCTTGGAAGATTCCTGACTGGGTCTTCTCCAGACACAGATAAGATTTCTAGCAAAGTATCTGACAAAGGATGACCTCTACGAGAAGATTACACCTTATCAAAGTACGTACTCTTCTTGCATAATGCTATCTTTTCTCAATGTCGGTTAAAAGGAGCAAATGCTTGCGTCTAACAACCTTACCCTGATTACCAATGCTAGGATATACAGCTCAGCCTTTTTTTGACCCACATCGATAACCCCTGTTATGTCGGACACCTGTCTTGTGTTGCTCTCCACAGACAGCTGAACACCTCACAGAATACTTCTGAGGACAAAGGTCGTCCAGAATATGGGGATAAATGTCCTTTTTTTATTTCTAAACTGAGGGATGAAACTATTCATTGTAATAGTGATATGAAGGTTTTCTGTAATTCCGTTCTGTGTCCGCTGTCTGACTTTTCAACAATTCTGCCTCTGGCAATTTACTCACCCTCTTACTTAAGGGATCACTATGTAGAGTAAGACCGTCAATTCTGAAAAGAAAGAATAGGGTTAGTTAAGTATCCCGATGCATCGGCACCTGATGAGATGGAAAGATAAAATGGGAGTGTTACTTACTTCAAACATGTCTCTGGAATCTCATGGACTAAATAAAGCGTTCCCTCAGAAATTGTCAAAATTAGACACCTGAAGAAGGCCGCAATGTGCAACGGGAATGGAACGTTCCGGCGTAGCCCATTTAGCGTCGCGGATTCGGCGGAGCCGACACGACATCGGATTTTTTTTGTCAGAGGGACGATTACGCGTCAGATTTCCTCTTTCGCCGTTATAGCCAAATCTCTCTCTCTCTCTCTCTCTCTCTCTCTCTCTCTCTCTCTCTCTCTCTCCTCCCTCCTCTTTTCTCTCTCTCTCTCTCTCTCTCCCTCCTCCCCTCTTTTCTCTCGCTCTCTCTCCTAACTCCCTACCTTTCTCTCTCCTCCCTCCTCCCTCCCTCCCTCCCTCCTCCCTATCCTTCTCTCTCTCGCTCTCTCACCTTCCCTCCCCTCTCCCCCCCTCTCTCTCTCTCTCTCTCTCCCTCCCTCTCTCTCCTCATCCATCCCCTTCTCTCTCTCGTTCTCTCTCCCCCTTCCTCCTTCTCTCTCCTCCTCCCTCCCCTTCTCTCTCTCGATCTGTCTAACCCTCCCTCCCACCCTCTCGTTCTCTCTCTCTCTCCCGTTTAGTAGTCAAATTAGTACTTCGTCCAACTTTACAAAAACAGTAGTTGGAGGTATTTTTAAATTTAAAAACAAATAGTTGGAGGTATTTTTATATTCCCTTCAGTGCAGCTTCATATTTTTCAGCCGCCAAAGACCTTTTATTCCAAAGGGAAGCAAATATTTTATCAAAACGTGCTCGAAGGGATATTCTCTATTCTTGCTCAAAAGGAAATTCTCTATTCTTGCTCAAAGGGAAATTCTCTATTCTTGCTCAAATGGAAATTCTCTATTCTTGCTCATAGAAAAAGTTAGATTATTTTTTTTTTTTTAAATATTTTCGGTAGCGACTAATTAGAGTTTTATTACATTTTTTAGTGAACAGGAAAGACCAAATACTTTGGTCTTTGAGAAAGAAAGAAATTTACCCTTGGTGCCTTTCCAGTCATCGATTAAATAGCACTTAAATTGTTTTTTATTATTATTATTTATTTATTTATTTAT